CCCCCCCCACCAGCCCCGGCCCCGCATCCCGCCCCGCGCTCTGTCCGTTCAGCACCGCCCGCCCCGGGCTCTGTCCGTTCAGCACCACGGCACGAGAACCCCCCGCACCCCCTCCCCAAGCAGCTCCAAGCCCGGGGGCTTCCCCAGGACCGGAGGAAGGGGCGGGCGCCTGGAGGGTTCACCCCCCCTGCCATCGAAGCCCCGAGAAATGAAGGGTCTCCGAGACACATCCCGGCCCGGGTTGTGTGAATTAAGAAGGGCATAAACTGTAAAAGGAATATAAAAGACATCAGAGTCCCGTCCTGTAAAGCGCAATAAACCTGAATTGTGTTGCTTCGGGGTGGCGATGAAGTTACAATCCCATCTGAAAGGCACAGGCAGTGCCTCAGTATTTCTCATCACTTTGCCCTGCCAGCAGCACAGGCGGGTCCTGCTCAGACCCCATCGCACACCCCGAGCAACGATTCATCTTTGCTACAGTTTTACATCTGGTTTCTCTCTGCGCTGTGCACGGGAGAAATAACTTTCTCCTCGGTGCGCGGAGGGGAAAAGAGGTGACCTGGGTGTTCCCGGAGCCGCCGGGAGGGTCGGGCTGCTCTCAGCTCCCCTTCGCTCCGGGGACTCATTTCCCGCGCTCCCTTTAGTGCTGCACGGCACATCCCGCATTCCCAGCTCCCTGTAGCTTTGCAGGGGCTCTACAGACCCACGCGGGGTGTTTATCTCCCAGGTAACCCCCGCAGAGACCGTCGAGCTGCTCCCCGCGTGGCTGCGGTGCGGGAGGAGGAGCGGCTGGGAAGGGACACGGGACACGAGCAACGGGAACCACCTTCCTGCCCGGGAAGTGCCTGGACCACCAGGCTCACCAGCTATTACTCATTAAAATGTTCTGTTCTCTGCTTCCTACCCAGATAAAATGAACCTGCGGACTGTTTGAGCAGCCCCTCCTTTTGCTCCGTGTTCAGGGACACCCAGCAAAGCAGAGCCTGTCCAGGCCCTGCAGTGATACAGTCATTCCTAATGAACCAGAGGCACAGCAAGACTAATTTATCTGAATTCAGGCAACTGAAATGCACGAGAGTGGATGTGCTATGTCTGGCAGCAAGGTCAAGGGAAGGTAATCCCAGTAAAATAATTTGGTTTGCAAAGATAACTTCAGAGAAATAGAAGTTGCTTCCATAAATAACATAATATCATGGAAAAAAAATGAGAATGGTCCAGTTATAGATGCAGCCAAAGCACAAACAGAAAGTAGAGAGAGAGGGAGTGAGTCCTTCAGCATAAGGACTGCAATGCCACACACCCAGCACAAGCAGCCATGTCCTCGAAAAGCCTCGAGGCTGCAACAGAGTCCAGATACTCTCACCTGCTTTGAATCCTACCACAAAAATAACAGCCAAACTTTCGCTTCAGTCTAACTCACTCCCATCTTCTTGCTCCCCAGCTTCCAAAAACAGGTCAGCAGGAGACACAACCACAAAACATTGGTCTGTTTTTTTTCCCACTGCTGCCACACACCATCCTGGCTGCTCAGCAGGAGACTGGAGGCCCAGCAGCTTCTGTGGGCTCTGGTGGAATCACCCATGAGAGCAGGCAGATGTGAAGGTCACTCTGCCTTCTGTGGGACATCTGCTAAACTATCACCCAGGAAATGGTTTCCAATCACCCGGGTCCTTTCTTTTGCAGCTCTTGAATGCCTCAGCAACCCGTGTTCTGCACATCCAAGGGATCAGCAAACTGTTCAGGCTGTAACCCTGGAACATGTGGGCTGCCCTTGGGACAAGAACCAGGGAAATCTCCTCTTCAACAGCAGAGCGAGAGAGAAGGGTCCAAACTGGTCAGCAGAGCCCCACAGCCTGGGCTGGGAGGGTGGGTGATTGTCAGGAAGGAGGGGAGCATGGCCTGGGGGACTTGAGAAAACAGAGGGAGGATTCAAATGGAGGCAACTGTCCCAGAGTTGGGGGAGTTGGGACAAACATGGGTTCAGACCACCAGATTTAGGTCAGACAAGAAGCTACAGAGGAGCTGGGGACAGGATAAGGCAGCAGTTCCTGAGGCAGTTGAAGAGCCACCTGGTTTCTTTGGATCTTGGTTTCCCTTGCATTACCTGAGCATCTTTGTACTTGCCCATAATACAGAGGTATAATCTGTATAAACAGGTGCAGAGAATGTATGACTCTCTGGGTTGGCACTAAACATGTAGAAGAAACAAGAAAGAATAAAATAACTGTTCAGAAACGTGCTGAGCAGCTCTTCACCAGTTGGGATGTGCCCAAGTGCTAAAGCACCTGCACATGGTCTTGGGTTTCTCTCTAATTCTTCTGTATTTCTCAATCCTCAGCCCTGTTCACCCTAAGGAAGCCTGAGGTTGCAATCCATCTTGCTGCCCACACTGCTGCCACCAAGGTCTGATCTGCAGCCTTCCCCTTGCCACATCACACCACTAAACCTCAGCTTTTCCTCTAAAAAAGGAGACTGTGCTCATCTGATACAACACAGCTCTGAACCAACACCAACAGGCTCCATGGAAGGAGCTCTTTTGAGATTCCTAAAGGAGTCTGACAGAGTCTACATGGTGCCATCAAAGAGGAGGAGAACCTTATATATATATTTTATATATATAAAATTTATATTTTATATATAGTTATATATTTTAAATACATTTTAGAAAGAGGAAATATTTTCCAAGGAGTTAGATCCCTCCTGATAAAAGTACCATACATTTTAAAGGCCATATAACCTCCTTCAACACCTGAAGAAGAAGGAACAGTGATTTCTTCAGAACACAGAGAGATGGAGAGCTTGCCAGAAAGGACTCGGACTCACCAGCATGGGCAGCAGGAGTGTCAGCCCAGGGCAGCACCGTGTGGTGTCCACTGACACCGTCCAGAGAAGGGATGAAGGGGAGAGCCCAGACCTCCAAAAAGGCACACAACTCCCGCGTTGCAGTGCGGGAGGGGGAAAACCTGGGATCTGTGCTGCCGCATTTACCGTGAGTGACAGACCAGTGTCTCCTCCTGGCTCCACCTTCTCAGACACGCTGGAGAGCAGCCCATGAATGAGGCTGTCACCTTCCCGCATCATTTCACGTTCTCGTGTCTCTTTAATCCAGCCCCGCTGCCTCCAGGGCAGGGGCAGCTGCGGGGCCGGGTGCGGGTGCTGCGGGAGAAGGGGCTGCCCAGGGCAGCGGTGGAGCCACCGTCCCTGGAGGTGTCCCAGGAAAGGCTGGATGTGGCATTTAGTGCCACGGCCTAGCCGATGTGGTGGGGGTGGGCCTCTGCTGGATCTTAAAGGTCTTTTCCAGCCTTGGGAATTCCGTGATTCCGTGAGGAGCCGGAGCCCCGCCCGCCCGCGGGGCAGCGCCGCACTCGGCCCGCACTGACCTTGTGCTGCCTCTGCTCCCGCACCCAAACCCACCCCAGCGCCAGCACAGCTGCCAGGGAGGCAGGAGACAGGGCTGCCGGGCTGCGGGAACCAAAGCCCGTTTCTTTTCATCCCAGGGATTGGTTTGTTTGCTTAAACAAACCCAGGAAAATCCCCCCCAGGGGGACGAGCCCCCGGGCAGCAGCTGCAGTTCCAGCTGCTCTCCCTGCAGCACGGATTTGGTTTTGCTGCAGATAAAGAAGAAAACAATGAAGAAAGCAAACAAGACTCTTTCCTTCATTGAAGGATTTTCCTGCCTCCCCCCTGCCGCCCCAGCCACCCTCCTGCCCTGTCGGGGTGATGATGCTGCAGCGGGGCGAGGCTCAGCCCCCCCGCCCTGGCAAACATCTCCCTGTTCTCTCCCCTCCTGTCACACCACGGCTTTCCCACGCCTTCCGACTCCTTGAACTTGTTTCTCTACTCGGTCTGAGCCGCAGGGAAGTGCAGGTTCTCTGAAACACATGACCCCGAGTCCCCCGTGACAGCAGAACTGCATCTTTGGGAAGAGGAAACGCACCGTGGGAGGGGGGGGGGGAAGCTGGAAGGCTGGGAAAGGCAGGGGTCACCTGCCACCTCGTCCATCTGAAGTTCGGGGCAACCTTGGCTGGGAGGGCTGGTGAGCCCCCCCCAACCCCCCCCCCCCCGCCAGCGGGGTCCAATCCGGTCCTGCGGGAGCGGGGGGCAGATGGGTGGGACCCGCCGCACGCCCGCCGAGCCAGGGATGCTCCCAGAAATGCACATACAATAGCCAGGGATGTTTCTGTCAGAGGCACATTTTTACAAGGCTGCTTTTCCATCTTTCATCACATGCAAAGTCCACTTAGGATCAGCTGCATCCCTCTCCCCGCCCCACATCTCTGCCTTTCCCCCTGCACCCGCTGCTCTTTGGAAAGGAGAAAGGAGCAGGGGATGGGCAGCAGGAGACACGGCAACGGCCAGTGGAGGAAGCAAAAAGTGTCCCTGCTCTTCTCCTGGCTGGTTCCCTGCCTGGGGTGGCACAAAGCCCTGCCTGCTCCTCCTTTTTGTCTGCTGGTTCCTCTCAGCCCGAACATCCTGCAGGATTTCAGCTCCCCCGCCCAAAGCCCCTTTATGCACCGCAGAACCCGGAGCCATTTCAGGAGAAAACCCGGGTGTCGGGTTTTGTTGTTTTGTGGTTTTTTAAAAGAAAAAGACCCTCTAAACGCACCCACTGCCCATTGCACCACCTCAGGCTTTTCTTCTCCTTCCCCCCTGCTCCCACTTTCAGCCATTTGAATCCCAGCTCCCCGGTTGGAAGGGACCAGACCCCTCTTTGGGAAGGGGCTGCCCGTCCTGCAGCCCCAGCCCAGCCCCGGCTCCCGCCCCGCGGCTCCCGGGAATGCTGCAGGAGGGAGGAAGGGCTTTCCTTGCAGCATTTGATTCCACCTAACGCCAGCAGAGAACCGCTCCCCAGGAGCATCTTCTACGGAAGAAATACGAGCTGTGGGGGAAATCCAGGGGTGGGGAGCCCTGGGAATCCACAGAAACCCACCGCGGATATTCTGGTGGGTTCGGGGGGATTTTCTGGGGCGTTGCTGTCACCCCCTTCTCCGTGTCTTTCTTCCCATTACCCATCGATGCAATTCCTGATCTTCAGAAAACAAAATGTAATCGCTGGTTTCTCCACAAGCAGCGACACAGGGTGCAAATTATTCTTGGGGGGGTGATGGGGGGAATAAGAAGATGCTGCCTCACGTTGCAAAAACGAGGATGAATGGTCAGAAAGCAGCGTCTCCTCATGCCCCAGTGTAACGGCAGCGAGATTTTAAACTGGCAGGTTTATCACATGTGTATCCATATTGAAATCAAAAGCCCACCTGCTGCCCTGCACCAGAGGGGTGTGTGGCCGGGGCAGGCAGGGAACAATGAGCCCGTTCCCGCTGCCTCCTCAGCCCAGAACTCCCCCGAAACGCACCGAAAAAAAAAGGTAAAATAATCATAATCCTCAGAATAACGGTGGAAAAAAAAAAATTATACCAAACCAAACAAACCCCCGATGGTTCAATAACAACATATCCAGATAGATAGGTGGCTGGAGGTGCCAGTCCTACCTGAGACGGTGCTGGCCATGCTGCGGCGGGCGGTGCTGCGGGAGCTGCGGTGCTGCAGTGCTGCGGGAGGCAGGACTGACTCAGCTGGAGGGGGCTGCAGC